CACTACCCAGCAGCCCAAAGGAGATGGGAAGAAGCTTGTCCCCAGGCCAAGAGATAAACATAAAAATTGGTCCTGGTCTAGAGATATTTCTGGGACACCTGGCAAAAGCCAATGTAAAGTCCTCTGATCCCCTCTGATAGGAGCTTCACACAGTGCATTCATAGGCAAGAGGATGCCACAATCATTTAACAGATAAAGAAGTGGAGGCTCAGTAAGGCTGAGTGATTTGTCCAGGATCACAGGGCAGGTAGAGAAATCTGGGCCGAAAGCAAAGTCCTCCCTCGCTACAATCCTTTCTCTAGCAGAAGTATGGGCAGCTCAGGGTACCTCTGGGAGGTACCCAGGACATGGGCAAGATGGCACTGCAGACACCCTGGGATCAGATACAACTGTAGAGGTGCCTGACCTCAAATGGATGCCAGTCATATTCTGGTCACCAAGAGGCATGGCACCTCTTCTTCCCCACCTCCATACTGCTCATCTGAGTAGGGAGCACAAGGAGAGGGGATGTCTAGTGGGAACTGGGGAGGCATTACAGTTTGGGAATTGATAACTCTTCCCATGAAGGGAGAGTCTTTTTTTTTTTTTTTTTCTTGAAAGCCACTTGAACTTTGTCATTGCAATTAAGCTTATCTCTTCTTGTGTTTGCTTAGCTTGTGGGCAGGAGATGTCATTACCCTCTTCTAATTTTATGGAAAACTACTTGCAAGTGTTAAATTTTGAAACAGCCACTAACCTCCTTGGCCTTAAGACTCACACACACACACACACACACACACACACACACATCTGGCCCAAAGGAGGTCATTGCAGGTTGCCCAAGAAGGCCCCACCTGGGATTCTACAGAGAGAGGAGGTCCTTGCATCATGTCTGTCAGGCTAACCATTTGCTGTGAGAGCTGGCAGTCTTCAGCACTGTGCCAGCCTCTTGACCAGCCTCTGAGTGAATCATGCTCAAGTACTGCCTGGACTGGGTAGGTAAGTTGTGCTGGGCCAAGGAGAAGGGTCTGGAGGGAGTCAGCTCTCAGACTTGCTCTTCCTCAGGCACCAGAAAAGATGTTTTCACCCCAGTCTTCCTGCAAGGGCTCTGGGATGGGTGTTAACTTGGCCTAAGGAGAAAAATTCATGACCTTCCTTCCCACTCTCCAACTCAGAGCCCAGAGAACAGCCCTTATGGGTGTGTCATGTGACATCCGTGGCCGGGGAAAGATTATCTGGATGTGGACCCAGGTATCGCTTTATCTGAGAAGAGATTCTGTGCAGGCAGTGGCTGCATGAGAAAGCATGGTGTATCCAGGGCACCACGGCCAGTAGATGCACTTAATGGCCGCAAGGAAGGGGGTTCATGGCCTCATTGTGGGCATTTCCTTACTGATTACTTCATTGGTTTTAAGAGCTCCCATACTCAAGTTTCTACTGATTTACTCCCTCATAAGTGTTTGAAAAGTTCTTTGGATAGGTAGTGGGTGAGGTGGGGTGGGTGTGGTCTTAGATATGACTTGAATATAATCCAGCACTCGGCCATTGTGGTCATTAGACAGACACACGCTAGTATCAGCCTGTTGATACTAGCCAACAGCACTCAGATACCATCTCGGATCACATGGCAGTCTAGGTTTTGGGTAAAATTAGCTTGAATTCTTCCAGAGTCCTCACTAAGATTTTTCGAGATCCTTAGGGGGACTGTTCTCCCATAAACATCCTGCGTCCCACTAAGTCCCTGACTTATGTTCAATTTAGGATTTTTGAGTTTATGATGGTGTGAAAGTGGTACTCATTCAGTAGAACCCATACTTTGTGAATTTTAATTTTTTTCCCAGGCTAGTGATATGCAGTACAATCATCTCTTGTGATGCTGGACAGCCACTGCAAGCCTTGGCTCCATCAGCCACATGATCACAAGAGCAAACAATCAATACACATTCTGTACCCATGCAAACTTTCTGTTTTTCACTTTCAGTACAGTAGTCAATATATTACATGAGATAGTCAATACATATTATATAATAGGCTTTGCTTTAGATGATTTTGCCCAAATGTAGGCTAAAATAAGTGTCCCGGGTACACGTAAGCTAGGCTAGGCTAAGCTATGATGTTCAGTAGGTTAGGTATAGTAGATGTATATTTGACTCATGATATTTTCAGCTAACAATGGGTTTATTGGCACAAAAATCCTTTGTAAGTTGAGAAGATCTATACTGTTTGAGGTGTACTGTCTCATCTCTGTGACATCAACCCATGAGCCCTTCATCATTTTCCATTTGCACATGTATTGATTTATGAATTACCTTTTACTGAAGCATCTGAGGTGGTTGGAGAGGGAATTAAAGAAAGATGGATGGGGATTCACTACAGCAAATGAGTAGCTTCAAATTCAACATGAGGTTTCCTGGAAGCCTTTCATGCCTTACCGCCAGCGAGGGTGCCTTCATGCACCATCACCTCACACCCACTCGCTGATTCCCCTTCTTCCTGCCTGCTCTACTGCTCTCTTTCCATTCCCTGACATCCAGGTGGGAGAAAAAGTCCTCCCCGGCATCCTGCACAGCCCAGCAGGCCTTTTCTACCAGGGACAGGAAGAGAGTAGCTGGCTCTTGGGCCCAAGGTCACATGTTGCCAGCCCTTTCCACCAAGGGTTCCACAACCCTTGCTCATCATAGACCTTGGGTTTCACTCATTTTCTCTCCCAAGCAGCTTCTCCAGCCATTTACACATACACACAGTTTCCTTTCCAAGAGAATTCCATTGCCAATTTTTAAGATAATGAATTTTTCACTTCCTTACATATACATATATAAAATAAAAAGTCATTGCCCCTGGAACCCCTGGATGGCTCAGTCAGTTGAGCATCTGACTCTGGCTCAGGTCATGACCTTGGGTCATGGGGTTGAGCCCTATATCAGGCTTTGACTTCCGCTTGGGAGTGTGCTTGGAATTCTTTCCTCTGCCCCTTCTCTCTCTCAAATAAACAAATAAATCTTTTAAAAAATCATTTTCCCATTTGGAAGAGATTTGGATCTTATGGGTACCTGCAATACAATGAGATACATTAAAAGGTCCATAGTCAAGATTCAGAACAAGACGTGACTGTTATCCTTTGAGCCACTCTGCCACCGCCAGCTGGGTGCTAGGGCATTGGTGGTGCCTAAAAATGACTGTGAGTTCTGGGCGTACAAGCCTGCTTAGCATTCTCCAGGGATCATCCTGACATGCAGCCTGGAAAGCACATTGTTCCCGGGCACTCAGAGGAAGCCTGAGCAGAGAGGGCAAAGTGGAGCACCCCTCTGCACTGGAGGGAGAGGTTTACTGGTGCTAGGATCTGCATGACTGCCATCAACCAGTGCCCTCTGGGCATAACACTCAGAAGGGAGTTATCCCTCCATGGCAGGGCATATGCTAACACCACCTGATGGGGATGCCAGAGGAGGGCTTTGACATTGAGCGTATGGGTGGATGGGAGGACTTCTCAGGTGCTTTATTAGATCAACATGTCCAAATTCTGGAAGTTTGGGAGAGGATGTGTGAGGGGATTGGAGATGCCAGAGCATGCCTCTAGTGGGCTGACACGCTTATGTTAGCACTGTGCCCCTCAGGCTTGTCTTCCTACAATGTCAATGACTCCTATACAACAAGAACCTGAGGCCTGCCGGGCTTCCAGATCAGATGCTCCCATAGTCCAGACAGTTGGTAGCTAAGTGTGTAGTCATCCTGCTGATTGTGCTGCAAGTGAGAACAGACAGGGTCCCCTGGCAGGACAGAGTACCATCCAGGAAACAGAAAGCTCTGGCTACCATCTCCCCTGGTGCAGGCTGGAATGGTGGAACAGGAATGCAGAGGAAGGAGAAAGAATGGATAGGGACGGGAAGAGAGTAGCTGGCTCTTGGGCCCAAGGTCACATGTTGCCAGCCCTATTCACGTCCTCTGACACTGGGGTCTCATCTGTGCCTGGTTAGACACACACATGCACACACATGCACACACACACACACACACACACACACTCTGATCCTGGCTGCCCGGCCCCAATGATTCAGTGATGTGAGGGGATGTGCCAACCTAATTCTTCATATATCTTATTTTCCTTTTAACAAGAAGATCTGTGGCCTCATTATCTTTTGATGGTTTTTATTTACTGACCTATCATGGATAACTACTAGGTGCCAGGGATTGGAAATACAAAGGAAGAAATGAAAAAGAATACATAGAGAAATAATCCCAGTAGGATTGGGAACATAAATCCCTGAGCACAGAGGATTTATAGAGGAGATGAATGGGTGAAGGGTGAGGGAAGGGTGGAGGGTGTAGTGAGAAAGCAAACATGGGGCAGAGGCCCCCTGACATGTTCAGTCAGCCCAGCAGGTGCTACCTGCCTTCTCTCTCCCTCCCATTCTCTGCCAAATAAAATTTAGCTCCATTTCCACACATCAAGTTTCCATTGTTCCCACCTGCCCTTCAGTATGTGGCACTTTGCTTAACACTTTTCACTGGAGACTGAAGTGGACAGTGTAGAGCTTGTAACTATCAAGAGGATTCCCAGAATACAAAATAGCTCTAGGAGCTTATGAAGCTTTGTAAAAATAAAGTTTGAGTCATGATGAAGATGGAAGAGATCATAAGGTTATGAAAATATGGTAGAGTTTTGAGTTGAAAGGGATTCTTTGGTATTTTTCTGTGTGTCTAAATCTAAGTATATGCACATATATATGCACACACATACGTATATATGCATACCTGTCTACCACACAGGCACATACAGATGTGTGTACAGATATGTATGCATACACATACGCACACGCACATCTCATGGAGGATTGGCATATTATAGGCTGCAGGGACTTAGGGCTTTGCACTTGATTGACATCCATTAATGTTTGCTGAATTAGAGCAAACCTCCGCTGTGCCCATCCTGTTTTTTTATTGCTGACCATTGCTCTTAGCAGTTAATGTTTGAACCTGGCCATAAAGGAGTCAGCAGCTGCTGACCTATGGCCAACATTCAAAGCGGAAGGAGCCCCCTATAAATCAGCTCACACTGGGCAGCCCAGCCAGCAGAGCTGCAGGTCCACTGTGGAGGAAGCCTTGTTGCCACCATGAACTTCTCCGGCAAGTACCAACTGCAGAGCCAAGAAAACTTTGAGGCCTTCATGAAGGCAGTCGGTGAGTACTGGGGTGGACACCAAGGCTGGGAGTCCTGGCAGGTGAGAGTCTGGCCCTACTGGCGGTGGCTAACCAGAGTCTCCATATTAGGATAGAAGGAAAGTTTCAGGCTTTGCACAGCCCAGAGGCTACATTATGGATATGACTTTCGCAGTCATTTGCAGCTTATGCTATTGGTTACTGGACAAGGTCACTCCATAGGCAAGTGGAAAGAGCACTGAACTAGAGTCTGATCTGGATTGTAGCAATCTCTGCTGATACCTCACTCACTCACTCATTCATTTTTCTGACAAATGTTGATTCAAGGCCAACTACATGCTGAGTACTGTGCTGGATGGATACCAGGGAGACAGATAACAATGAGCCACATTTCCAAGTCACAGTTTAGAGAGAGAAAAAGAGAAGAGACAAATACAATAACGTATCCCCTAACACGTACTGAGCACTGACTCACTACCAGGCACTGTGCTAAGTAAGCTCTTAATATGGAATATCCCATTGAATCCTCACCAAAAATCTCTGAGTTGAGTACTAATTTTTCCCCATTTCACAGTCAAGACAACTGAAGCCTAGAAAAATTAAGTAATCCTAACCAAAGTCATGCAGGTAGGAAGCATTTGCATTGGGATATGAAGTGGACTGGATGCTGGTTCCAGAGACCCCATTTTAATCCTCTGCACCCCCCAGAATCATGTGCAGAGGATGAGGTGCTCATGGAAAGGCATGGATAGAAGGCTTGGTGGTGGCGAAGGTGAACCTTGGCTGGGCCTTGGCAGATGAACAAGTGTCCCCCAGGGGACTGGTAAAGGGGAGCATACTCCAGGTAGAGGGAACCCTATGAAGAAAGGGGCGATGTGACACAGAAGGGTGACAAAGGGGAAAAGTGTGGGGAAGACAGCAAAGGCAGAGAGAAGAGGACCTTCAGGGCTAGCAGAGAGCTAAGCTCTTCTATAGGGTGTCACACCATCTCTGTTTCAAATCCCTTACCTGGGCCACAGGACCCTCTACCCCCACTGCCAACGTGTGTAGACTTCACTTCAACAGGGTAGAGGTGCCCTGAAATGTGTAAAGTTCTGTCCCAGGGCAAGGGACTCCCACTGCACCTTCCTCAAGAGCCTTGACAGCAGAGGTCGAGGCAGGAATGGGTAGCTGGAGGCTTGTGGGGCACAGTTCTGACTGGCCCGTGTTGTCCAGGCATATTATTCCTAGTTCCCCCTCTCACCCTCAGGAGGGACCTGGCTGGACCTCAAACTGTGTGGTCACTCTGGGTGTGGAATGAAACACTGACACTCAGAATAAAGTCTGGCATGAGATAGCAGAGCAAGCGAGAACCAGGGCGCTCACTAGAGGAAAGGTTCTTTAGGGCACATGCGTGACTTCTCATTGACCTTTCCTCTCAGAGGTCAAAGCCCATGTTGTTCTCAGAACTCGGTACCTGCCTCTGGCTTCTGGGGATACACGGCACCTCCCCTTTTGACTCCACACCACAAAGTTTCTCTGTGACCACTGCCTTGCAGCTCCCACCTCTGCTCATCTCTGAACCTCAAATGGTTTTCACCAGGTCTGCCTGATGAACTCATCCAGAAGGGGAAGGACCTCAAGGGGGTGTCAGAAATCGTGCAGAATGGGAAGCACTTCAAGCTCACCATCACCACTGGTTCCAAAGTGATCCAGAATGAGTTCACCTTGGGGGAAGAGTGTGAGCTGGAGACCATGACTGGAGAGAAGGTCAAGGTAGGAGCTGCTCCTTATGCCACCCTCTGCTTCTGGAGCCTGGCCCCAGGGCTTCATCCTACCAGACTCTCACCTCACAGTTCCCACCACAGATACTTTGTCTGTGACTCCACTTCTGGGATGGGAGCCAGAGACCAAGACAGCTCTAGGGAAGAAGCTCTCGGGAGACCCTTCCAGTTTTCCTATGACTGCCTGGGTTCTCTGGCCCCAGGAACCTGGGCTTTCTCATGTGGAGGATGTGGGGGGACCAGGTGCAGGTTCTCTCAGGCCCACCAGTGGACAAGCAGGAGTCTGTGAAAAACCCTAAACAGAGCTGTGACATCATCCTTGAGCCCAAAGTAAACTTGCTTTGCTGAGCCTGTAGCTGCTGACAACATCAAGAATAGCAGAATACCAAGGCCCCAGGCAGGCCCTCAGACCAAGCCTCCAGAGGTCACTGAGCCCTTGGCCTCAGTTGCCTCATCTGTACAATGGGCATAGCCACTCTTCCCTGACTGAAGGCAATGGGCAGGGTGGCATCACTCTGCTGGGCTGTGGCTCAGGGTGTGTGCAATGAGAGGTGGGTGTGCACTGTGGGAATGGCCAGAAGGTGATGGCAGAAAGATCCAGGCAGTGGGGTACCCCTCCCTAGAGACTTCTCTTCCTCCCTGGGAAACTCCACACACCTAGCACAGCCAAAGCCAAGAGCAGCCATCTTCATCCCTCCCCCTCCAAACAACTTTGTGCTTTGGCCTCAGCATGTTGGTCTTTTTATCTCTCTCTCTCTTTTTTTTTTTTAAGATTTTATTTATTTATTCATAGACACACACACACACAGAGAGAGAGAGAGAGAGAGAGAGGCAGAGACACAGGCAGAGGGAGAAGCAGGCTCCATGCAGGGAGCCCGATGTGGGACTCAATCCTGGGTCTCCAGGATCACACCCCAGGCTGCAGGCGGCACCAAACCGCTGCGCCACCAGGGCTGCCCTCTTTTAATCTCTTATGACAGCTTCTTATTTCTGTTTCTCCAGATATAACATTACAGGTCAGGAAATCTGTGATAAATTTTAGGTGGGAAATTCTCTTGTTATGCCCGTAGTAAGGGGCAGCCCATCATGGGTTTTACCACCGACCTTCTCCAATTGTGCATCTTGGAGGCACATTGTTAACCTTGGCCAGGGTCTTCTGTTTCCTGCTGGGTATCTGTTGTCTCTCCCTGGATGCATAAAGCTTGAGAAAGAGACCACAATAGAAAATAAAAATGTGGGATCCCTGGGTGGCGCAGCGGTTTGGCGCCTGCCTTTGGCCCAGGGCGCGATCCTGGAGACCCGGGATCGAATCCCACATCGGGCTCCCGGTGGATGGAGCCTGCTTCTCCCTCTGCCTGTGTCTCTGCGTCTCTCTCTCTCTCTCTCTCTCTCTCTCTCTCTCTCTGTGACTATCATAAATAAATAAAAATTTAAAAAAATATTTAAAAAAAAAAAAAAAAAAAAAGAAAATAAAAATGTGCTGGAAGGAAAATACATCAAAGCTAAATAGATGTTCTTCCAACTGGCCAATATTTAGAATTTTGCTTCTGCCTCCATCTACCAGTTTGGAGATTTTACCAGTTTTATCTTAGTGCCTGTATTTGAGACCGCTTAGGTGTTCTATGCTCATTTCTAGTTCACATACCATACATTAAAAATTTGATAAAAGAAGCCCTGACATTGTCTTTAGCTTTTAAATGCACCTCCCATCTTTATAGCCAGGAGACTGGGGGATGTGAATGGCTTGGCTATTGTAAACCAGGACCCAGTCAGGGGAGCCAGTGTCACTGGCAAGGGTTCTGCTGTCTCCCCAGACTTTTCCTCACAGCTCATCTCTTCTCTTCTGCAGGCAGTGGTTCAGATGGAAGGTGACAATAAGCTGGTGACAACTTTCAAAGGCATCAAGTCTGTGACCGAACTCAATGGCGATGTGATCACCAACGTAAGTTGGCACCCTGAGCTTGTGGCTCCCAGTGCTTGATGGGAGGGAGAGGTAAAGGGTGAGGTGCAGCTCTCCTACCACCTTTCCTGTGGTCAACTTCTGCTACCACTTACTGAGGACCCATGATATACCAAGCAGTTTACATACATTATCTCTATCCTCCCAACAACCCTGAATTTTCTAAGTGGGGAAACTCCGAAGCAACAAATAGGGAAAGGCAAAACGAGGGTTCCCTGAGTGAGACCTGTCACACAGGGCTGTCATCCACAGTTGCACACTGCATAATCCTAGAGGGAGCCACTCCTATTGTAGATGATATGTGTATTACGATCTTGAGGTGGATACTGGTTAACCATCTAGGTTTTTTTTTAAATTATCCACTTATTTATTTATTTTGAGAGCAAGCAAGTGAGAGAGTAGGGGGAAGAGAGACAGAGGGAGAGGGAGAGAATCCCAAGCAGACTCTGTGCTGAGCGTGGAGCCCTATGTGGGGCTTGATCCCACAACCCTGAGATCATGGCCTCAGCCAAAGCCAAGAGCCAGACACTCAACTGAATGAGCCACCCAGGTGCCCCAACCATCTTGTTCTAACAAGATGTATTTGGATAGCTTTCCAACAGATAGAAGTACAGTATCTTGAGGAAGGGGTACCTTTTTTAATTTACCAAAGACTCCACAGGTGTTGGCACTGGCCCCCAGTTGGTACTTCCCTACCTCTCCTGATTTTCTTCAGGCTGCTCATCCACCCCCACTTTCCATGCCAAGGTCAACCACATCAACTTCCCCCTCTTCCTTCTCTCCTCATTGCTATCTCCCTTTCTTCACTCATACCCAAATAGGATGGGGTAAGAGAGGTGCTTGGTAGGGAGATACAAGGTCCTGCAGAGCTACCGGCATGACCCACCCTTTTCAGTCTCCACAAGGTTGTAGCCATAGGACTTGCTCACAGGCATTGACAAGGAGAATCATATTCATAGCAATTTTATGGCAGCTTATAAGAGTGGCACACTCCAGCTGTGTAATCATTCTTGATGCCTGATTGTTGGTCATGTCCATGATTTTGGGGTGAATAGTACAATGTTTCTCCTACAGTTGTGTTCCTCTGGATCTTCTTTGCTCCCAGGATGTGCTTGGGGAGTAACAGAAGGCAGAACACTACCCAAGGTGTCTGTCACTCTCCTCCTTATTCAAGTGGGAAAATCCCTAAATTAGGTAGAGTGTGAAGGTCAACAAGGAAACATGCTGTTCCCACCCCTGCAGGGCACATTCATAGCACAGCAGGAAGATACCAGCAGGGTGGAGGGAGATGAGTTTGTCCTGGACTCAGTCCTGGCCAAAGTACTTTGATAGGCTTTATTTCTGCCTTGATATGCTTTTGATATTTTCCCCTAGTCTTGCCCTCTGCTGGGAGGGAGGCAGGATGAGGGATTTAATAAATAGGTTGACCTGTCCAAAGTCATCCAGCTAACGAGCTGTAGAACCAGGGTTCAAACCTAGCTCTTTTTATTCCATTCCATTGCTGCTGAAGCTAAGCTAAGGGGCTCCTTTGTAACCCTGATGACATTAACCCACATCATTGCCACAGATTTTTTCAAGAGAACTAGTGGGAGGTAGGGGCGGGGGGGTGGGGGAGAAAGGAACAAAAACTCAAAAAAACAGATGAATCCAATGAATCCAATGCCTTTGTTTGCTTCACAGCTCTTTGGGAGGAAAATTTTGCACTACCTACTATGTTCCAGGCTAGGTGCCTGCGTATTTCTATGTACATGTGTTCTTGCCCCTCAGCATGTGTTTGGTACATAAGTAGGTACTCAATGAAACTTTGGGAAATTGGATTGGACTGGACTCATTTGGGTCTTGCTCTAACTGCCATCAATATAGAAAGGAATTCACTAAAAGGCAGGACAACTTTCTACCTCAGGAAGTGAAGTGAAAAGACCTGGCATGCGATTTTTAGGAAAGATTGCCAACTCTTCCTCAGATCTTACAGAAAACAGAGAAATCTTTGAGTTGTTTCCTATGCTAGCATATTTGGGATGAGTTTGTGGCCTTAATTACCTTTTACAATTCAACATCAGATGAACATTTTGTGATTTTTTTTTTTTTTTTTTACTTTCAGACCATGACATTGGGTGACATTGTCTTCAAGAGAATCAGCAAGAGAATTTAGACAAATCTGCACTTCATATTCTTTTACTGTGTAAAATTAATGTAATAAAGTGAACTTTGTTTTAAAAAAAAGTCTTCCCAATGGGCTTGTCATTGATGGTGCTATTGGTATCAATGGGCATTAATCACCTATATTTTTGTAAATCTTGATGATCTGTGTATTCTGTCCTTCTGGGCCAGGTCTGAAGGGTAATTCTCACCCTGAAGGTAGACCCTATGCTGCTCATTCAGGTGATCCTATGAGAAACATGAGATGTGGCTGGATCTGTTCAGCAGCCTTAGAATGACCTTTCCCGGTCAGCCATACAGGCAAGGAGCTAGAGCAAGAGGGTGTGCTGTCTCCCTGTGGGGACAGAGAAAAGGAATGCTGGGCAGGCATAGGGGAGCTATGCCCACCTGTGTGGTCACAGTGGCTCCACCTACTAGGGTACATGAACAAAAAGAGCAGACACTGATCCACCAAATGAATAATTCACCTTCCTAGTAGAGGGCTGACCGAGGAGCTTAGCAGGAGGCACCAGAAGTGGACAAAGGAAGCTCAGGTGGACATTTCTTCCATGCTATGGGCAGAGGCAGAATGTGGGAAAGGGATTTCTCTGAACAGCACTTTGTATCAGGCTCTGGTAGCTACTACACGTTGAGTGGCACACCCCCTAAAATTCACATGATGAAGTCCTAATCTCCAGGACCTCAGATGGGGACCTTATTTTGGAATAAAGATACTGCCAATATAATTAGTTAAGTTAAAATAAGGTCATACTGTAGTAAGGTGGACCCCTAATCCAATATGACTGGTGTCCTTATAAAAGGGAGACATTTATAGGCAGAGACACCCAGATGGGAAGTATGTCATGTGAAGTTTAGAGTTCTGCTGCCACAAGCCAAGGATGTGCCAGAAGCTAGGAGAGAAACCTGGAACAGATCCTTCCCTACCCTCTTCAGAGGGGGAGCATGGCCATGGCCTCACCTTCATCTCATCTCAGACTTCTGGCCTCCAAAACAATGAGATAATACGTTTCTGTCGTGTAAACCACCCTGTTAAGGGTACTCTGTTATGGCAGCCTTAGCAAGCTGATAGGGTGCTTGTCCCCCATATCCAAAGAGTTGCCATGTCTTTCAGCTCCCAGAACTATGCCAGGCCACAGAAAGCTCTCAAGAAAGATGCCTTAATATGAATGAATCTGTCACATTTCCCACCTCCTCTCTTTCCACTTCTGGGGCCGAAACCCCATTACTCATACTCTCTCCTAGGATAGTCTCACAGGCCCTATGGCATCTCCTTGCCCTCTCTCTCTTACTGACAAATCTCTACTGACAGTCATCTTCCTTAAAAACAGCAATGATAGTGATGCTTCCTAGTTCACTGCCAGCACGTAAGAGTCAAACTCCAAAACCCGCGTTTCATGTCTGTCAGGGGTCAGGAAACTTCTCCTGTAAAAAGCCAGAGAGTAAATATTTTCAGTGTTGTAGGCCATCCAATCTCTGTCACAATTCCCCAGTTCTGCTCTTATAGCACAAAACAGCCTTAGGCGATACACCAACAAATGGGCATTGCTGTGTTTAGACAAAACTTTATTTATGGACACTGACATTTGAATTTCATATCATTTGCATATGCCATGAAGTAGTATTCTTGTTTTTTTTTTCCCACCATTTAAACATAGAATACCATTCTTAGCTCACACATCACATAGAAACAGGTGGCAACTGGATCTGACCATAGACTTTTTTTTTTGTTTATTTATTTATGATAGTCACACACACACACACAGAGAGAGAGAGGCAGAGACACAGGCAGAGGGAGAAGCAGGCTCCATGCACCGGGAGCCCGATGCGGGATTCGATCCCAGGTCTCCAGGATCGCGCCCTGGGCCAAAGGCAGGCGCTAAACCGCTGCGCCACCCAGGGATCCCTGACGTATAGACCTTAAACAAGTTGCAAAAACCATGGAAGAAAAGATCAATTCATATTGCTACCTCAAAACTATAAAGTTTTGCATGAAAAGAGACTCTATAAACACAGTTTTTTAAAAAAAGCAGCAATGTGGGAGAAAATATTTGTGACTTAGACAATAGAGGTCAATAGAACATAAAAGCCTGTAAGAAACCTAACAAGTCAATGGGAAGATGAGGTGAGCACATTAATGGCAACTCACAGTATGACATGGGCTTAGTCTCAAAGTACTCAGGGAAGAGAAGTATAAGAGGAGCTATCATTTTACAGATCAAACTAGTAAAAAGTAAAAGGAGTGATAACATGGAACGTTTGCCAGGATGTAAGAAATGGCTCTCCCCAGTGGTAGAGATGTAAATCTTTACAGCCTGTGTAGAGATGTAAATTGTTACAGGCTGTAATTGTTACAGCCTGTGTTAAATGGATTCTGTCCATTTAACAATACCCACTAATATTTCTGATGTGAATTCCCTAACACCTAGCAATGCCAACATTGTATGTCTCTCTAGAGAAGTGTTTAAACACATACAAAAAAAAAAAAAGCATATAAAGGATACAATAGCCAAAACTGGAAACAAATGTCCATGAGTAAGAAAAGGTTAGATAAACTATTGTACAGCCAAACTACGAAATATCTTGTGGTAAAGTAAATCAAGGAGTCAGATCTTTAGGTGCTGTCGTAGAACTCTCAAAGGCTTTTTTTTTTTTTTAAAGCAAGTTTCTGAATAGTATCACCTGTACAATATCATGTAAATGTTGTTAAAATATGAAACAAAATTATCTGTTTATAGACATTTATGTGCATGCATATAACCATAGATTGTTGGAAAGCCAGATACTAGCCATCACCTCTGGTATGAGTGGTCAAAATAACTTTTTGCATTATTTATATTGAATTTTCTGCACGGAGCTAATTTTGTGGAGCTGATTTTTTAAGAAGTAGATGATTTAGAGTAAAAATATTGGGTTTGAGGTGTGTCAGTTGAGCATTGATTCTTGGTTTTGGCTCAGGTCGTGATCTCTGAGTGGTGAGATTGAGCTCCCCATCAGGCTCTGTGCTTAGCACAGAGTCTGCTTGAGATTCTCTTTCTGCCCCTTTCTCCACTGCTCCCACATGTGTGCACTCTCTCACTCTCTAAAAAAAAAAAAAAAATTGGTCTTGAAGACATGGTTCTAGTCAACTAATCCCTGATTTTGGATCTCAGTTTTCTCATCTGCAAAATGGGCAGCACAGTACCTCTTCTTGTGGTTTTGGTAAAGAGCCAATGAAATGATGCATGTGCCATCCAAACAAGGCATGTCACTACTGTCCTTTGGATTCCTGAGAGAACTACAGTTGGGTCTGACCTCCACAACTTTAGCAGAAGCTCTATTGTACTCAGAGAAGCATCTGTGTGCAGATGAAGAGACACGGAGAGGAAAGAGGTTTGCTAAGACCACTCAACTGATGAGCTACACAGGAGGAGGAACATAGTAGAAACAAGATCTCTTCAACCAAGACTCTTGGGATCTGACAAAATTCCCAAAGCCTCCTCCTATCTGAGGTTCCCCTGGTAACAAATCTTGCTTTTGGAGGGGATCGTTTGTGTGTTTGTGCCTGAAAAAGAAATTAATTTTATGCTGAATTTGGATTTTGTACAGGTGCCCAGAGAACTTTGGGCCTGAAGTCAACTTTAAATAAATTGAATAAACAGCTGTTGATGGTATCAACTATTTTTGCCTTGACCCCTCCTCTTCTGCCTGCCCCCTTCTCTCCACCTGTCCTGTGAGCATCCCAACAACAGAGTGCACTCTGTACCCATGAATGCTGATTGATTTGTAAAAAGTCAATTTAGGCGTCTATATTCATGCAAATGTAGACTTTTCCAAATATCTTCTTTTTAAAAAAACTGATTCCCATTAGGGTAAAGGAAGTGATTTTAGGGGGTGGGGTGTCTAACTTAATCTACATTCAATCTTCAGAGTACTTTTTCTATATATATCAGAGGTACATTGACCATCCCATGATTTTCTAGTATTTCATGGAGTAAACATGGGGTAAATATGGAGATATCAAATTAAATGTAGGGATGCCTGAGTGGCTCCGTGGTTGAGCATCAGGCATCTCAACTGTTTTTTGCTCAAGTCGTGATCCCAGGGTCCTGGGATCAAGTCCCACATCGGACTCCCCGCTGGGAGTCTGCTTCTCCCTCTGCCTATGTCTTTGCCTCTCTCATGAATAAATAAAATCTTTTTTTAAATTAAATTAAATTGAATTAAATTAAATTAAATTAAATTAAATTAAAATAAATGTATCTTCTCCACACAATCCGACCTCATTCAGTCAAATCAGGACTGAACAGTGGTAAGCTCTGACAAAGATCCCCAGGAGACTTGCTGTCTAGGGGGATGAGATCAACCCATAATGGCGATAGTATGATCCATGCTGTGATCCTGGTGGGCACAAGCTCCAGACCCTGCCTGAGCAAGTGACATTTCAGCTGACTCTCAAAGAATTCAGAAGGATATTTGCATGGCCAAGAGGCATGGTATAAATGGACACTTGGCAAAAGATGAGGCAGAAAAAGGATATGGAGTCTCTGTCATGAATATTCTTTTACTCTGATAAGGAGTCTGGACTCAATCCTGGAGACAGTGGGGAATCACTGAAGAGTTTTTAGTTGCAAGAATAACAGGATGCTAAATGCATTGTAGAGAATTATTCTGGCCATGGTGTCAAAGACCAATGAAAAGGGCCCATGCTGAATACAAAGACACCATTAAGAGACTGCGGCAATGGCCCAGATGAAAGGATGTGGGTCTTGAACCAAGGCATTGCCTGTGAGGATGAAGCAAAGTGGAAAGGTCCAAGAGCACAAATTAGAATTAATGGGCGCTAGCCACTAGAGGTGAGAAGTGCACTGGAAAGATATGTGTCAGGGATATATCAGCAGGAAATAAGGCTCACTCAAAAGTGTTCTCCTGGTGAGAATTTAATGATAGCATTATTTACACAGGTGCGGTTTGAGTAAAGGGAGCCCTCAGGTAGGTGAGACACCCAGGGATGATCAACCACTAAAAGCCATTACCATCCATAGGCCTGAAGGGTCAACATGGGGGACTGCATTACTTGAACTCAC